TCTTTAGGTGACTTTCCAAAGAAGGTTTCATTTCAACTATAGTAGTTCAATATTTTGGATGAGACTATTCCTGCCTGTGTGATTGGAGGTGGTCCAGTCCTTACACAGAAGAAGAAGCAATTTGCTGCAGCATGTTTTGGCAAAGTTCACAGGGAGCAACTTCCTTTGACTTTTAAGCCAGAGCTGATCATGTATTTTACAGCAAAGGAGGTACCAGTAGAAACTGAGTTCATTAAAGCTTTTATTACTGCAGATACCATTACTCTGAGTTGTCCTTGCAACTGGTAATTCTCCTTCAGCAATAGGAATAAACTATTGGTAAAAACAGGTGGTTTTTTTCCTAGTGAGGAACTGCCTTGTAAATGCTTTTGTAGCTGAAAGCAGATATATAACTGAGATGGAGTGATAATTACACCTTGGTGAAGGAAATCAATTTCCAGTTTAAAGAAGAAAGAAAAGAAAGGGACACATATAATTATGAGTAATAGGTTCATGGTGATGTCTTTAGTTAAGCCACGAGTCTCATTCCATAACAAACTGTGGATATCACAATTTACTACTCCCAGATGGTTTTTTTTAGCTTCTCTTCTAGAAAAGGAAGAGTTATAAAAGTAAATCTGTTTCTCTGCATAGTTTTTGTAAAGCAGTTTCTGGTTGTGTGAATACAGGAAACTTTGGGAAAACAACTTTTGGAAAAGGAACAAGAATTATTGTAAAACCACGTAAGTGAGCATGAATAATGTAAGAATTACACTTCCGTGTGCTTATTTTCTAAGCATTTCATTTGTTTGAAGGTATAGGAAAACTTGTCTCTGTTCTGGTGAGAATCCATAAGATTGAAAAACCTTTCAATACTGATTTTTTGTATGCCAACCCTTCCCAAATGTACTGTGTTACAAGGGCAAAATATTTTTTTTGTTTTTTTATAATTAATATGTTGGCACAATAATGGTTGCAGGTGAATGTGTCAATACTAAATACCGTCTTTTTGTATCCATGCTTCAACTGAAATATCTTAAATGGAAAAAAACAGGGAGATATAAAACTTTTTTGCTTTTACAGACCCAAAATATATGCTGATGTGAACACTAAAGTATTAATTAATGACATTTATGATAAGATTTAGTTTAGCAAAATTTTAGTGAATAAAAGTAAATTTATGTGGCTACAATCATCAGCGAAGCAACATTTTGCTTCATGCTGACCTCTCCAGATTTTGGAAAGGCAATAGTTGACCCTGTCATTTAGTGGTGATTGGGAATCTGTTCAAGTCAGCCAGCAGTGGTTTATAGAAAGCACCTTCTCACAGTGTGTTTGGTGCTTATGGGAAGTTCACTTTTGGTAGAGGAACTCGTCTGTTTGTGCTTCCAAGTAAGTCTTCCAGGAAAAGCAGTGTTTCAGCATTTGTTTTCACTCCAAAATAGCGTTTGGGCACATCCCAGGTCCTGCAGAGTCCATTCCGTGTGACTCCCAAGCACTCAGCAGAGCTGGATACAGAAATGTCCTTGTGCTCTGGGCCTAGAGATCTTCTCCCAGAGATTCAGCAGGGAATAATGAATTCAGGTTCATCCCAGAGGCTTGCAGCAGAATAAACAGGCAGGGTAACTGCAAGCATCTGTTAAATTCTGTCCTGCCCTTGCAATTGCCAGGAGGTACTTTATAATGGGGTTTGTATTCGAGCCTTTGGTGCCAGATTTTTGTTTCCAAGATAATATCTGTCAAACTGCAGAGATTTTTTCAGGGGCTGTGATACAGGTAGGGGGATGCTGGTAATGAAAACTGACATGTAGAAAATGATAGGAGGAAATCAAAGGTTTTCTTAGTAAGTGGGCACCACAATGTGTAGGTTAATTAACCTACAGACTTCATTGGATCTGGATCCTATTCAGGATCCAGCGAGTGATTTATGCCCTGATTGGGTGCAGAAAGGAGAACTAGGTGGGGTTGCATTTGTGACATCTTCATTTTTGCATTTCTAAAAACTTCACATAAACAAGTTATCCACTTAAATCTATGTGAGACCATACAGGATATGCAATGAATAGCTGAAAAGGGCCTATCTATCACAGAAACTCGTTAAGAGGATGGTTAATTATCTGACTGCAAGGGCAAGTTGTCTTTCTCTCTCTCCCTTAGATTTCAGTCAGCATATATGGCTTGAACTCTTAGTGAGGAACAGCGAATGGAGGTTTGTAGTTCAGGTGAGAGCATTTTCCTCTCCAGGTAGCTTAAAGAATGGAAAAAACTTATTGAGATCCCAAATATGTGCCTAGATTTTCTTTGCTGGGTGCAGTAAGTCTGGGATGGGATTATCTTAGTTTGTTCCTGTCCAGAAATCATCACATATCAGGAGTTTCCCCATTTTGTTGCAGAACAGGAAAGGTTTTTTGCAAAGGAGTTAAATGATGTGTGAATCCAGCGTTAGCTATAATAAGCTGCAGTTTGGCAGAGGAACGAGTCTCAGTGTTAAACCAAGTAAGTGCATGATCTGAACAAAAATGTTTTGAAAAGTATTGGAGAACCTGATACTTGGAATTGGTTTCATGTAATTATCCTGGGAGGGGAATCTCCTTCTGTATCTACTGTTTGTAAGGATGAAATGATAACGTGGCTGGACCCTTCAGTGTAAACTCAGCAGCAAGAAGAAATCCGGGTTTTTTTTGTAATGTCTGAGAGTTCATGGAGAGTAGCTGTTATGGGAGGACTGCTTCCAGTAATTACAGTTAGTTTCTACTCACACAAAGGAAGCAAGGACTAGATTCTCAGCAAAATGGAAACCATGTAAATCAGAGTGAGGTGCCAGAGAGAGGGAAATCTTTCCCCAAACTATAGAGCTGTCTCATTGCTCAAGTTGCTCAAGCTTCATGGTATTCCTTGGCAGACCATAGAAAAGAATGGATTTTCCTTGTCTTTTTCACATTTATCCGTTTTTAAGATACAAGGACTCCCTGAAACAACATCTCAGCCTTGGCCATATTGATCAACATAACTGGTCTACTCTGGCCTCAAATCGGGAGGCCTGGAGACACACCATCTATAACGCTGCTGTTTCCTTTGAGAACGCACGCAGAATCCCTCTCGAGGAGAAAAGGCAACACAGAAAGAACCGTGTTTTGCAGAATATACCATCTAAGGAGTCTTTCAGCTGTGCCTTTTGCAATCGGATATGTCTGTCTCGTATTGGCCTCATAAGTCACCAACGTGCCTGTAGCAAATGTGGATAGAGCCTTGTTAAATCTTCGTTCGCGAAGTCCAGCCATGACTTTTGAAGAGTACCTCAAGGGCTCACCATGTGTGGAATTACGTGAGCAAGAAGCAGAAAGGAGAAGATGGCCTTTCAGAGAACTGACAAGTCTCTGTCCTATAAAAAAGTGATTTAATGTGCATTAACAGATATAGGAGAGCTTGCAAAAGTTCTTCTCCTGTGAAATTCTAGGCCAGGTGTCATTGCCAGATATTCTGACTGTCCAGTTACATCTTCCCCTGCAAAACTCTTCAGGACTGGGGAATGAAGTACTTCTGGTAATGTTTCTCTCTCTTTCCAATGCACAGCTTTGAAAATAGAAGTTAATAGATGTATGATTTCCGTATGGGGGGGTGTCTTAGTTTATTCCTCCTATGACAAAGCATCCCATGTTCAGGGCACTTCATCTTTCCTAAACTGTAAAAATAATTGACACAAAACCTGAGAGGAGACAGAAAAGAGATAACCCAGCCTAGATTTTGTAAGGATCTGTAACAGGCATTTTGCACATACAGTTTTATTTCAATGACTAATCATGTCTCCTGCCATGGGACTTGAAACATTCAGAAGACCATGGAGTTTTTGTAAGGAAGCTTTTCGCTGTGTGTATTCAGGAAATGCAGACAGGTTGACCTTTGGAAGAGGAACCAGGCTGCTGATAAAGCCCAGTAGGTATCTCTTCACCAATAGGGTTAGGACAGACAGAGTCTTTTAGGTCTTTTGTTAGATCTTCCTCAAGATGGAGAAAAGCTTCTTTTTGATATGAAGCACAAAGGGAATGGGGAAGGAGATCACATTCTGAACAATTAGCTTTTAACTTGTCTTGTTGCTGGAGTGGAACAGCTTGGAAATTGCTCTTCTGCTGAAAATTAGTGAATGGCCTTTGTGTTGTCCAAGCAGTCAGTCAGTCAGGAGACACCCTGAAGGGGAATGTATTTGAGATTAGTGTTCATGAATAGCCTTTGTTTACTCAAAACATTAGACAGAGCTGGTCTCTCGGACTTGGGTTTGGATCCCTTACTGTGTTCCTTTACAACTAAATAAACAAGAAAAAATAGGACCTTAAATTGGTTTTCTCTGGAAGTTTCCTTCTGCTTAATTTTTCTTGGCTTCTTTCTCTTATGGGTCTGCTCAGCTTTTGAGCTTGACTAGCTGGCTGATCTGACTCCTTTTTCAGATCATGAGAAGTTTTGGAAACAGCTATGTTAGTTGTTTAAAAAGTGGTGGAAATTTTATCTCCCTCTGAAATGTCTAGCAGCCTGTTCTGGCTGTTAAAGGCTGGGGCTTCTCTCCTTTACAGTTTTTGTATAAAGGCTAGTTAATGTGGGATAACTGTCTTCCTGAAAAGTCACCTCTGGGAGAGGCACAAAACTAATTCTGAGATCAGGTACATCTTAAAACAAATAGTTCTTTCACATTGTAAGTGCAAGGCTAAGATTCTCCTGTCTCTTAACCATGACAAAAATCATTCTACTTAAAAACTGTCCAAGAACTTCAGCTGCATTATGCTAAGAGGGAACTGGGCTTGGTTTTCTACTGCATTCAGGATTGTTTCTATCTGAATTTCTATGGAAAGATCAGAGGTATGCAGCTAGAAAGACATCATAATTTTTAGAGTCAGATGTATGTGACAAGGATGACACCTGTGTTCCCTCTTGAACTCTTTTGAAAAACACACATATTTGTGTGCCCCAAAGTTGTGTGTGGTTTTTGTTAGTGAATGTATCACTGTGTGAATTCAGCATCCAGTTGGAAAATGACCTTTGGAAGTGGGACACAACTGACAGTGAAACCAGGTAGGTAGAAAGCCTGAAGGAGTTAAGGATAGGAAAGCTTAATTCCTCTTTGAAACAGCCATTAAAATTCCATTGCTCTATCCTTCCGTGGGCAGAAGGTCAGGGCTGACCCTGTACCAGAAAAAAACCTTCTTTGTAAAGCTTAATACCAATTTGGAGGACTGGACTTTCTTGTAGCATATGTGTCATTGAGAGCTGTAACATTTGGGTCATTTTCTTCACTACTACATATTCCCAGAAAACTTCCAGTCCTGCAGACCTCACACTGTCCTTTTATTTCCATTGTCCAGAACCCAGACAATGTCCCAGAAGATGCAGTTCCTTCTCACCTGGGAAAACTGTCTTACCCCTTGCTCAGCTGCTCCTATGTCGGAATACAGGCAGGTTTCCATCCAGGTTTTCACTCCTTGGGAAAAAAAAAAAAAAAAAAAAAAAAAGCTGGGCTGTCATGGAAAGAGATGGGAACAGGCAGGGCATTGTTTGTTTGCGGAATCAAGAATTGTGTTTTGAAGCCATGTGGGATGGTCCAGGGGGAGATCTCTGTTTTAATTCTGATCTAACGCTGGAGGAGGATTTTTGGTGTAGCATTTCACTGCAGGAATGAAGGACAAAACTTGCAGTGAGTGACCATCTCTGACAAACTGAAAGAAACCATCAGCTAGGAAAAGTCTTTAAAGGAAATGGAATTTACTGGGTAGACTAAGTTAAAAAGATGTTAAGCAGGATCTAATTAGGTACTGGAGGAGAAAAAAAGGTTTTTATTTTGAAGAAAAACACTGTATGAATAGTTATGGAAACAAATTCACCTTTCAAAGTGGAATGCAGCTGAGGGTAAAACCAAGTAAGGTTAAGCCATTATTTGCTCAGTGTTGTAAATATAAAAAAGAAAGATACAAAAAAATCATACCAGTGATATGGGAGTTGAGACAGGTCTAACTGAGATATGTCCACAATTACTCTGTCAGTAATCTACCTCCTTCCTTTCAGATAGGCAATATGGGGTCCTAAACACATTTGCTCAGGACATTTTGTGCCATGGCCATGCCAGAAGGGTTGCTTTTTGTCTCTTGGGATGTAGATGAGCTTGTGTTCTTGTTGAGGTGAAAACAACTGTGTGAACTATGACACAAGCTCACACTTGGTAGAGGGACAGGACTTCAAGTTTTTCCTAGTAAGTACGACTGCTTTCTTGTAGTCTCCCTCCATGTCAAGTAAACCAGCCCCCTGCCCACTGAGATCTCCAGGATGCCCTTCCTGGGCTTGTGGCCCTTCAGCTATGGGGTTAGAGGCCACCTTCTTTTCTCCAAGACAGGCACTGGCTTTGGGCTCCCAAACAGGGTTTGTATCCACAGGTCCAACAGTGTCCTTGATCCTGCAATTAGAGTGTGGGGGGTTCTTCACCTAAGGCTGTCACTGCTAATGACATTCAGCATTACCCAGTGGAGATGCAGGTGACCAGCCTTGCCGAGTGGTGAGGAAGGTTTTTGTTGAGGGAAGAAACACTGTGTGAACACAGGATATGGGTCTTATAAACTTGTCTTTGGCTCTGGAACGAGACTCACTGTTTGGCCAGGTAAGTCCAGTGCTGTGTGCTCTCTCTGAGGCCGTTCTTTGGGTGGTTGAGAGCAGCAGCCTGGCTGGTTGTTTGGTCATCTCTGGGTGTCCATATCCAGGGATGGGCTTTGTTTCAAGGGAATGCCCAAAACAACCCTTCCTGCTCTCAGTTTGCCTGGGATGGACAAAGTAGCCACACTTTGATGCTCCCAAATGTCCCAGCTGCCCTGTGGGAAGGCTGTGCTGTGCCATTGCATCCCAGGGTGGTAGGGGATGCAGTGTAAAGCACTGTCTCCCTTCTGCTGGCCCTGTGAGCGTGGGCATGGCTGGGCAAAGGTTGGGGGAGAGGTGCTGCTCTGCAGTGGCTTGCTGGGCTTTTTGTTAAGGAAGGAAATGTTGTGTGATATTGATTCTGGCTATGGCAAGGTGACCTTTGGCTCAGGGACCAGACTGTCCATCCAGCCCAGTGAGTCTGCAGTTTTCCTTTGCCTAATTTTTGGAAATCCTTGGGTGTCCACTGGGACACACTGCAGAATTACTTTTATCTGGATCACATTACAGATGGAGGGAGACCTTGGGTACTATTTCAAGAGACTCTTGTGCCTAGTAGCATGTTCAGTTGGAGGACTTCTGCCCTTTAGAAAATGTGATATGGACAGTGAAATGACAGAAATGTGGACTGCACCAGAGACCCTCATCCTAGGCTAGGTTCAGGTTCTTATTCCCATCCTTTTTTCCATTCCAGTACAACCAGCCTTTGGGGCAGGGATCATAAAATGTTCCCTGATGACTCAGGGATAGGTTCTTCCCATCTCTGACACCTTTAGTGACCAAAATAAAATCTAGTTATTCCCAGGGATTTGAACACGGAAAAAGGTATTTGGCAAAAAGAACTCAGAGGAGATCAATGGAAATGTGTTTGGGTGTTTATAACCTCTTTCAGAGGCAGATCCCAGCCCTCCAACAGCCCCTGAGGGGATTAGATGAAAAGGCCCATTTTGTAATGAGCTGTCACACAGTGATGGTTCGGGAGGGTGGGTAAAACTCACCTGGGGGAGTGGAACCAAACTTCTCATTTTCCCAGGTGAGTTGTCTCTCCTCTGAGTCAAGGGGGACTCAATATAGACAATGTTGGACCTCAGCTGCAGAAATAACAGTGCAGTGGCTTTGTGGAGCAATTGGGTTGCAATGTCACTCAACAATTCTGTCCTGGGGCTGTGCTCCAGCAGCAGCACAGGATAAACACAGAGGATACCAAAGGTAAACTGAGCTGTCAGGGGTAGTAATGGTGGTGCTGAACTACAAACCCCATGGACAGAGTGTGCTTTTTCTATTTTGGACACCAGACCAACACCAAGCCCTGGGGCACCATGTCCTGAAAAGTCTCAATGCCAGTCAGTGACAGGGATTTTGCAAACAGCCTGAGAAAGTGATCCCTGAGGTTTTATTTTCCCTCCTCTCTCTGTTGCAGTTCCTAAGGGAAAGCCATCTCCTGTCCAAGGGTCTCGTCCCTCTCCTCTCAAAAGGAGACCAGAGGGGTGAGAGCCAGGCTGAGCCCTGGGTTCTTGTAGGAGAGTATCACACTGTGTGACCAGCAACACAGGAAAACTGCAGTTTGGGACAGGGACGAAGCTGCATGTTCTGCCAAGTATGTTTTCTGCTCCTGTTTCTTCTCTCCAGGCTGTCTCCTCTTGCTGCATTCCTGCTCTAATGCACCTTCAGATCCTAAAGAGAAGTCTGAGGTGTGGGATACAGACACAAGGATTTGTGATTCCCCAGCCCTGGCATGGCTGGGTAAAGGCTGGGGGAGAGGTGCTGCTCTGCTGTGGCTTGCTGAGCTTTTTGTTAGGGAAGGAAATGCTGTGGGACAGCTCCAGAAAGGTGACCTTTGGCTCAGGGACCAGACTGTCCATCCAGCCCAGTGAGTGTGCAGCTTGCTACTGGTCTTCCAAATTCCTCTCCTGCAATGGGAATGTTTTTATATTCATTCTTTCCTTTTGCCTTTGTGCACTTGAAATGCCTTCTCTGCCACCTCACGCTCTGAGAATGCTCTGAGAATGCCCTCTGAGAATTAGTCTGTAATGGGACTGTGCTTGCACAGAGTAAATCTCAACTTGAGGTCCGTGTGAATATTGGAAAAGTGTCACCTGTGCCTTGCTGGGAAGTTCCTTGGCAGCCGCACCAGGGGCTTCCATGCTCCGGGGAGATGAGAGCACTGCTGTGATGGCTTTTGTTCAGGGCTTTGCATGGGCTCAGGTCTACCTCTGGAGCTGGGACAAAGCGAGGAGTGACACCTTGTGAGTCCTCTCAAAGGTCCATTTTAGCTCTGTGGGGCAATGCAGTAATGTCCAAGGCTATAATGTCGGGGTGTAAATCTTAGGAAACCTTTCTGAAGGCACACAGATCCCAGTGCCCTCTCTCTGGGAATGGAAAAGCTGTGAGCTGCTGTGGGAGGAGTGGGCTGGGCAAAAAGTTTGTATTTGGAAAGGGAGAAAGCTCTTTGCAAAGGCACATAAATCTGTGAGACTGAGAGAAATGCCTGAGTCTCACCAGCTGTGCCCTGGGCAGCCCTGGATGCTCCGGAAGGGGCTCCAGGTAGAGCTGCAGCCCTGTGGGGAAGGACCCTGTCGCAGGGAGAGCAGCTCTGTGTCAGCCTGGGGAGGGGAGGAGGATGTTGCTGTAGCTCAGGAATTAGGGATTTCCCTTATCTTTTACTGTTTTTTCCAGCCTCTGCTGGCAAAGCCAAATGTCAGTGTCTTGTGGGTGTTTCCTTCCTGGTAGCTGTGGGGTTTTGGTAAAGCTGGCCCTGTTGTGGCACTTTGCAGAGACAGGTGTTAGCAAACTCTCCTTTGGCCTGGCAGCAGACTTTTTGTGAAAGCCAGTGAGTAGATCCCTGTTAAGTGTCCTGTTGGCTGAAATACGGAGCAGGAAAAGGGACCTGGTTACCCTGTCAGTGGGGGTGACTCTCATCTGCCCACCTGGGCACGTGGTTGGAACTCCCTCCGCATGTATTTCTTGATTGGTTTTACCTGGAGAGGTCAGAGGAATGCGACTAAGAAGATATCCCTATATGGGGACAAGGGTAATATCTGTTTTTTCCACCTTGATCTCTGTGGGAAATCTTGTACTGCTTTCTGGAGTAAAAGTGGTGTGTGGTTTTTATTCATGGAAGAGTCACAGTGTGAATTCAGCATCCACTGGAAAGTTGCCTTTGGGAGTGAGACACAACTGAAGGTGAAACCCGGTAGGTAGAAAGGCAGCTTGGAGGAGTGAGGATAGGAAAGGCATATCCGTTACTTGGCGAAAAGCACTTGGGTTGTGTTGGAAAGTGGTCTACACAGGGATGGAGTTTGTGCATGGGAGGGGGCTGAGAGACAGGGAGCAGCCAGGAGCAAGGAAGGTATTTTGACAGTGCACAGTGTGTGTAGGAAGGCCTGAGAGAAGGT